CATTCTCTTTAAGTCAACACTAGCTATTCAGGCGGGGTCACGTGTCTTAGTCAAGCTGCAGTGGTTCGGTTATTTTTGGTTTACACGAAATTTGGAAGGAAACTGAAGCACCAAGAACATGAAGGAATCTACACCTACAGAGCGTGCAAAAGAAGGAATCATAGCTCCCCACACCAGTGTGGACAGATTTCAGAGAAACATAAGCTGAGCAGAAGTATTGGGGTTGAGGTTGCCCTTCTCACAGCGTGCTTGCTACACAGCTAATGCATCGCTGGCCCGTGCTCTTTTGCATGGCTGCATTCCTAGCCCAGGTACCTTCCTTGTAAAGACGTCTGATAATGGTTCCTGATATAAGCATAGTCATCCATGTATCAGGGGACAGGGGAAATCTTGAAGACACGTGTCCACTCAGGTTCAGTAATTGTACTTTTCTACTTCTGTCTCTTCCCCTTTCCCTCCCGCAGACCCTAGGTCCATAAAAGGCACAGACCTTTTGTTTAGGGTTCCCATAGTTGTGAGATGACCCCCACATCCGTGCTCTTCCAGCTGACTCTCCACCAGCATGCCATTCCTGGGGAACGTAGAACAGGGGAAGGTCAGTACTTTCTGCTTCTTTCTCATATCACAGTCAGTGATTAGTGCCTTAACTGTTACTTTCATTTTAACTCATCATAATGGGCTACTTGGACACCTGGCAGCTCAGCTCTCTCCAGGTCATTTGAACTGCTGAATGGCTCGTGCTTTTCAATCACCATCTTGCCTTCTTGTAACTGGTCGAATGCCAGAGATCACAGATAAAAAATTAGAGGCAATGTGAGGTCCTGGGAGATGTAATCACCCGTCTCCAGAGGGGATCATATTCTCCTTTGTTTAGGCAGCTAAGCTGGAGCCCGTAGCCCTTCCAGATCTCTTTAATTCACCCTGGGATTGAGATGATCTGACCCTGGGCGTTAAACTCTGTGAGAACTAGTCAGTTTCTGGGTTTTGCTCATTCTACCAAATGCCTCGGGTGTTCCCCAGGCCCCCTTCTCCTCGGTGGACCTCAACTCCATTTCTCGTCCCTCCAGCTTCATAAGAATGTTGAAAACTGCTTGTTTCCTCCACCTCTGAGTCATCCCTGGCAGAACTTATTGATCGACCCCTGTGTGAAAAGCAGCTGCAGACCTCTGAACCTCGCGCCACATCCTGATTCTGCAACTTTTCCCAGTCTTGCTAGTCCTCCCAATGTATCCAAACAGATTATTTTTATATATGTTGTCCAGATTTTCTAGCTGCTCTGATGGGGGGGGAAAGAAGACCACAGGCTCCAAATCTTGAAACCAGAATGTGCCATTTCAAAGCGCCACAGGAACACAACATTATAAATCAACTATACGTCAATAAAATAAACTTTAAAAAATATAAAAGAGCCACAGGAAGAAAGGAGGGAACCCCATACCTCAGTATTTTCATTCTAAAAACTAGAGCCTCGATATACGGCCTCAAAATTCTTTTTCATATTTGCTTTGGGGTCCACAGGGAGGGGAGAGCTTTATACTCACAAGTCAACTTCAAAAGACTATTACGTTTGAAAAGGGTTGAAATTTACATTTTGGGGGCAAGAAGGGAAGGCCCAGTGTTCATTCAGAAAAACCAAGGGGTATGTGACAATGAAAATGCAATGATGGGTCGTGAAATTATATTATATCAACAGAGTAACATATTAACGATACCTCTGTCACTTGAAACTTTTGAGACTTGTAACATGAAATTTTATTGATTGTGGAAAGACTAATTATGTCATTGTACCCACCCTGTGGTTATGGAAATTCATACGATTATAGCTGCATACTGACTGGGCTGTAAATATGCCTTTGCAACCGTTGGTTACTGTATTGTTTCCCAGGGCTGTTGTAACAAAGTATCACAAACTCAGTGGCTCCAAACAACAGAGATTTGTCCTCTCACAGTTCTATAGTCCAGAAGTCCAATATCAACATGTTGGCAGGGGCGTGTTCCCTGTAAAGACTGTAGAAAATGTTGTTTTCTAGTTTCTTCTAGCTTCCGGTGGTCATGGTTGGCATTCTTTCACTTGTAGCTGCATCACTCCAATCTCCGGCTTTCTTTACCTGTGTGTGTGTGTCTGTGTGTGTGTGTGTGTCTGTGTGTGTGTGTGTGTGTGTGTGTGTGTGTGTATTTGGGGAAAACTCAGCCTTCCTCCTGTGTTCCTCCTGTATTCTCACACTACTGTCACACTCAACGACATTTCTGATGCCGGATGTGTGGGTTTTCCCCACATCAAGAGATTCTCGGACACCAGCTGGCTGTCCTACAATTCAACTCAATTCTGACACTCTCTACCCAGAGATAGGGTCAGACCCCACAGGTTAAGGGCTCAGCCCACAAGAACCCCATCCCCAACTTCAGATGCCAGTCTTAAGTCCAGGTTGTCATTTGTGCTTCTGACTGCATGGCTATAGATCAGACATTCCGACAGCCTCCTCCTTGGTTTTGATTAATTTGCTAGAGTGGCTCACAGAACTTGGAAGAATATTTTACTTACCAGATTATCGGTTTATTATAAAGGGATATAACTCAGGAAGGAAGGGATGCACAGGGCAAGGTATGGGGAAGAGCATGGAGCCCTCTCCACGCACACCACTCTCCCCAAATTTCCACGTGTTCACCAACCCAGAAGCTCTTTGAACTCCAGCCTTTTGGGTTTCATGGGGGCTGCGTTAACCAAGCATGACTGACTAGGGACTTCCCTGGTGGTCCAGTGGTTAAGAATCTGCCTTTCAACGCAGGGGACATGGGTTCTATCCCTGGTCGGGGAACTAAGATCCAACATGCCGCAGGGCAACTAAGCCCACGCACTGCAGCTACTGAGCCCGCGTGCTCTAGAGCCTGCGCACCACAACTAGAGAGAAGCCCACGCGCCGCAACAAAGAGCCCACGTGCTGCAACAAAAGATCCCACATGCCACGACTGAGACGCGGCACAGCCAAATAAATAAATAAGCGAGATTGATTAAATCATTGGCCATTGGTGATTGATTCAATCTCCAGTCCCTCTCTCCTTCCCAAAGATCAGGGGGTGGGATTGAAAGTTCCAACATTCTAATTACATAGTTGGATTCCCTGGCAACAAGCCCCCTTCACTTGGTGCTTTCCAAAAGTCACCTCATTAATAACTAAAGACACCTACGTCAGACGCCTCACTTAGGAAATTCCAAGGGATTTTAGGAGTTTTGTGCCAGGAACAGGGATGAAAACCAAATTATATATTTTTTTATTATGAATCACAATCTGTTTCTCTTCTCTTCTTTTCTTTTTTTTTTTTCTGCGGTACACGGGCCTGTCACTGTTGTGGCCTCTCCCGTTTCGGAGCACAGACTCTGGATGCGCAGGCTCAGTGGCCATGGCTCACGGGCCCAGCTGTTCCACGGCATGTGGGATCTTCCCGGACCGGGACACGAACCCGTGTCCCCTGCATCGGCAGGCGGACTCTCAACCACTGCGCCACCAGGGAAGCCCTCCCTTCTTTTCTGATAAGAATAGCATCCTGGTTGGATTGAGAGCCCATTCTAATGACCTTATCTTACATTTTTATTATATCTGCAAGTACTCTATTTCCAAATAAAGTCATATTCACAAGTACCAGGAGTTAGGACTTGAACATATCTTTTAAAGGGACATAATTCAATCTATTATAGTCACCGTCAATTTAGGAGACTCTTGAAGGGGGTAGAGGTGAAGAATGATGAGTCATAGTGAGCAATATATGGATGGTTATGGGGAATTCCATGGTTTCACTACCAAGGGCCCGGGTTCAATCCCTGGTTGGGCAACTAAGATCCCACAAGCCGTGCAGTGCAACCAAAAGAGACAAAAAGAACAGGGTTATGCACCTCACCATCAGATTGGGCCGGTGGTATTCTTTTTTTTTTTTTTTTGGTGTTACGCGGGCCTCTCACTGTTGTGGCCTCTCCCATTGTGGAGCACAGGCTCCGGACGCGCAGGCTCAGTGGCCATGGCTCACGGGCCCAGCCGCTCCACGGCATGTGGGATCTTCCCAGACCGGGGCATGAACCCGTGTCCCCTGCATTGGCAGGCGGACTCCCAACCACTGCGCCACCAGGGAAGCCCTGGGCCGGTGGTATTCTAATTCACCGTGGCTGAGGTTATTTGTTCCCCTGTCATGTTCTTTCCTTGGTTTGTCTTCAATGCCACAGGGTAACCCCCTTTTCTCTTCTAAATGACAGTTTACAGCTCAAGGCTTTCCAAATCTTCAGCAGTAGCTGTGCCTTCTGGCAGAGCGAAATTCCACACATTTAGGGGCAATTTTGGTACAGCTGTGGCTTCTCGTTCACAGATCAGTACAGAGCTGACTTGAAATTATATTTGTGCATCCATGCGAGTTGTCCAAGATTTGGAAGCAATGGGAAGGGGTTATGAGGACTCTTTTGAGGTTCTGATGATCTTATATAATTGGCATCTAACAATGCAGAAGCTTAAGGTGGACAAGGTGATGATTTGATACACATATATATTGCAATAAGGTCAGTTAACACATCTATCGCCTCACATAATTACAATTTTTGTCTGTGTGGTAAGAATATTTAAGATTTACTCAGTGAGCAACTTGCAAGTATATAATTATAGTATTGTTAACAACTGTCACCACGCTGTACATTAGATCCCCACCACTTACTCATAACTGGATGTTTGTTTCATATGACCAACATCTTTTGATTTCCCCCACCTCTCAGCCCCTGGCAACTTCCATTCTACTCTCTGTTTCTGAGTTTGATTAGTTTAGATGGCTAAAAGTTGGAAATTTCTGGCCATGACAGAGTAACAGGGATCCGATTTACCCTCTCGCCTTAAACAACTAAAACACTGTCCAAAATATATGAAAAGATTATTTTAAGACATTGAACAATAGGCGTCACAGGACAATGATCCCTGAGAAGAGATAAACAAAGAGGGATTAAGTAAAGGCTTCTTAACCACGGGAATTCCCTGGTGGTCCAGTGGTTAGGACTCCCGCACTTTCAGTGCCGAGGTCCCAGGTTCAATCCCTGGTCAGGGAACTGAGATCCCACAAGCTGCACGGTGTGGCCAAAAAAAAAAAAGACTTCTTAACCAGGACACTAAAAACATGAACCATAAAAGAGTGATATAATGGACTTCACAAAAATTAAAATTGTTTGCTCTTCTAAATACTCAATTAGAAAATGAAAACTCAATCATAGAGAGGGAGAAAATATTTATGTATTTTTATGTCATGCATCTAGAGATGGATTTGTACCCAGAATATATTTTACAAATTCTTACAACTCAGTAATTAGATGACGAAAACCTCAGTGAAAAAAACTGTCCAAAAATTGGATAGATATGTCCCAAAAAGCGATATACAGATGGTAAATGAACACATGAAAAGATGTTCAATATCGCTAGTCATCAGGGAATTACAAATTAAAATACAATAAATTGCCACAAGAATGACTAAAACTAACGTTACAAACCATACCAAGTATCGCTGAGGATGTGGAAGAACTGGAACTCTCATACACTATTGATAAGATTGCTTGAAATATGGGATGGACAGGGGTTTCCCTGGTGGCGCAGTGGTTGAGAGTCCGCCTGCCGATGCAGGGGACACGGGTTCGTGCCCCGGTCTGGGAAGATCCCACATGCCGCGGAGTGGCTGGGCCCGTGAGCCATGGCCGCTGAGCCTGCGCGTCCGGAGCCTGTGCTCCACAACGGGAGAGGCCACAAGAGTGAGAGGCCCGCGTACCGCAAAAAAAAAAAAAGAAATATGGGATGGACACTTGGGGAAACAGTTGGTAGTTTCTTACAAAGTTAAACATACCCCTACCATATGACCTGCAATCCCACTCCTAGGAATTTGCCCAAGAGAAATGATAACAAATGTCCACATAAAGACCTATACACCATGCTCATAGCATCATTACTCATAATAGCCCCAAACTGGAAACAACACAAATGCCCATCAGCTGATGAACGCACACAAAAAGGGAGGCACGTGGACACTTTGGAATACTAGCAATAAAAAGACACAGAATCCTGAACACATAACATGACGGACAAATCATGAAACTTTATGCTAAGTGTCAAGCATGAAAGATTATGTACTGCGTGATTCCACTTATGCGAAATTCTAGGAGAGGCAAGACTTCGGGGGCAGAAGGTGGATCAGTGGTTGCCTAGGGATGGATTAGATAGAATAACCGCAAAAGGGTCATGAGATAACTTCTGGGGGCAACAGAAATGTTCTAGAACGTGATCGTGGTGGTGTTCTATGACCTTACACATTTGATAGAACTCATTATGCTGTACAATTAAAATGAGTTTTATTGTATTAATTTATAAATTATACCTCAAGTAAAAATAAAGCTTCACACTGATGGTGGCAAAAATTGAAAATAAGGAGTACTGATGAGCTCATTGCGCAGCTAAACCACGTCAGCAATGTCTTATTCTTTGAGGAAATTACTATACAGTTGACCTTGGAACAACCTGGAGGTTAGTGGCGCTGACCCTCCACTCATTCAAAAGTCTGAATATAACTTACAGTCAGCCTTCGCTACAGGTGGTCCCTCCGTAACCAAGATTCCACATCCACAGATTCAACCAACCTCTTTCTGACCATGTTGTACTCATTCCAGACAGGGAGCAGTGAGCAGTGGCTTGAAGTGAGATCTTAGTTCCCTGCCTAGGAATTGAACCCGGGTAGCCTGGATGAAAACCAGGAATCCTAGCCACTTGCTGGGCTAGCAGCTAGAAGCAAACATTCCCTGGCTCTTGCCTCCATTTCAAAGCAAGAATGTTTCAAGGAGGCAAAAACTGTAAAAACAGGTGCAAAGTTTATTATTAGAGGCACAGCACAGCACAAGTGGGAGAGTACACAGAGAGACGGTTCATTTAGCTAAGACAGAAGCAAGGCAGAGATACACACCTGTAGAGAAAAGGGTGTGGGCGTCCTCCCTAATGAGGAGAAATGCAGTTTAGAGGCTGTTCCATCATTCATATAGGGCAGTTCTTCCCGGTCTTTGTTGACCTTCGGCCAATTACCTGGTTTCTTTTTCCACACATGACCTGCCCTAGGGCCCTCCCCAGCACGCGTGCACAACTTTTTTCCAAGATGGATTCCAGCCCAGAGGCCTATGGGGGGCCTTGGCATCACCTATTATGGGGTGGTACCTCCTTTTTATTGACCCCCTAAGGAGCCTTTCTGCACAGGTGCAGTGTCTCCCTTGCCCCAAGGATGGGAAATATGTGACCACTTGATCTTTTCCTCAAACAGCGTTTAGCCCCTCTCTGTTCCTGCCCTGACTGTTATCTTAAAGTGTCCTCAGGGGACAAAGCCTGGCTATTTACCCTGTTTCTGTTGTTATTTCCATCTCAAAGTACAAACAGGAGGCTGGGTGTAAATGCCCAGACTGGAGCCCATCTCACTTCAGTACTGTAGTATTTAGGACTGAAAAAAACTGCACCCATGGGACCTCCCTGGTGGCACAGTGGTTAAGAATCCACCTGCCAATGCAGGGGACACGGGTTCGAGCCCTGGTCCAGGAAGATCCCACATGCCGCGGAGCAAATAAGCCCGTGCACCACAACTACTGAGCCTGTGCTCTAGAGTCCACGAGCCACATCTACTGAGCTCACGCGCTACAACTACTGAAGCCTGCGTGCCTAGAGCCCGTTCTCCGACAAGAGAAGCCACCGCAATGAGAAGCAGCCATTGCGGCCAGCTCCAAATCCTCCAGGAGTTCCCCCTTCACTCCAGGCCTTGGCAGTCCATACACTGCAATGGACAGCCTATTGGGAGGGCCACTTTCCAGCAGACCACAATGCTCCCCTTCAAGGAGAGCCCTGGCAACACAAACATCCCCCATCGGCGACCCCTTGCACGAGGGACCAGGTCAACCAGAGACGTCTGGTCAGGGACTGACGGGAGAGTAGAGGACGCTGAAAATCCCATCAAGCACAGGATTTGAAGGAAATTCAGAGGACGCTCTGAATCTCCTTCAGGTACCTCCTAGTAATGTTTCCAGGACACTGGACTTCATTTCCAGGAGCACGGTTAAGCCAGACAGGCTGAGAAAAGGAAAGCTTAGGTCCTGCTGTAACATTGCCTAGCCTTTATTTAAGTTGGGGAGTGGAATAATGGCCTGGAAATGGGTCTCTTAAAATTAGATCTTTACTGCCATAGGATGGGAAAATGGACTGAGGAAAACTTTCCTGACGTTCTGAGTGATCCCCGTCTAACTTCTCCCAACTCTCGGGGGAAATGAAGCTTCCCCCACTCCTGCAAGTTCCCTTATTCCTTCAGATTTTTCTGATCAAACTAAGATCCCACATCCCTGGAGGGACAATCCCTGCTGGGACAACATTTTGTCAGCCAGTCTGCCCCTGTTATCAGGGCCTATTTGAGCACTATCTGGTCTAAATTTTAGCTATGAAACTATGACTACAGAAAAAGAAAGATGATTTTTGGCAGTGTGGCCACAATATTCTTTAGACTCTGGAGAAAATTGGTTAAGATAAAACTTTTTGAAATTGCAAAAACGGTTCTTTTTTGCACGTGCAATTAGAGAAAGCTAGCTTGTTTATTTGTTCTGTTTTTTTTCCTTCTTTTTTTTAATTTATTTTTGGCTGCGTTGGGTCTTTGTTGCTGTGCGTGGGCTTTTCTCTAGTTGCCATGAGCGGGAGATACTCTTCATTGCAGTGATTGGGCTTCTCTTTGCAGTGGCTTCTCCTGTTGCGGAACAGGTACTGGCTCCAGGTACACTGGCTTCAGTAGTGGCACGTGTAGCTTGTTAAAATACTCTTTTTTTTTTTTTTTCCAGAATTCTGACCCCAAGGAACAAGTCCTACTAGGAGAACTTGCTTTTCTCTCCCTGTGCCTTGAGACCGTGGCTCTCAGGAATATTTATCTTATCTGGACCATCTCTAATTTCCTGAGACTGAGAAGAAAAAAAAAATGGGAAGAAGTCTTTTAAAATTTTACTTATTCCAACTGTTATTTCTTAACTAGTGAGTTTTATATTGTGATATCTGATTCATGACTAAGTTTAGAAAATGAAGCTAGATCTCTCGTGTCTGTCTGGGTAGATGTATGTCTCAGTATGTGTCTTCGTCTTTGGATAACATTGCTGAGGTTAATTTGTAAATGAGCTCTATTTAATTGGCTTAAGTAAAAGTAAGCACTTACAAATCAAACAATTCTAAATAGAAGAGAAATTAAGCTAAATGAATTTCAGGTTCACGTGAACTGGAAAATATTCAGTATTAAATTAAGACCTGGTGTTAATGCTTGTTCGTTGATCTAATTAACATAGACATGTCTTTAGAGTCATCGACTTTTAAGTATACTTTCATTGTGCCTCAGTTTAACATAAGCTAAATAAAATCTTGTTACATCTGTTATAAATTTGTCAGCCAGGAAAATAACTCAATGTGAAGAAACTTTTAAGGAAATGCAAACGAGATACGAGCTTTGGGTAAATTTTTAGGAATAATTACTTTTTTGGATTGTCTACTTAGGAATAATCCCTCCAGATATTTGACAACTTAAAAGTTAGAGTTGTGCTAAATTAAGTTAAATAATGGAAGTTTATTGACTAGCTAGGTCATTTCCAAATAAAATGAGGTACTGAAACATTAAGTACTGAATACTGGCTTCCTTTTACAGAGAAAGGAAAAGTTTAGAACTATTAATAAATATGTTTGGTGCCACACTGAGATATTTTCTATAAGAAATCCCATTTTTCAAGAAATTATTATTTGGATTTATGTTCTCCAATCTACAGAATGCTGATATAAAGGACAGTTCATGGTTGCTTAAGGAAAGTAGGATATGTGTTTTCAGTAAAGAAGGTATGAGGAATGGAATTGCATTTTATTAACGACTGACTTAGAGCTGGCTGTTTCTGGATGGGAAACTAAAGTGATGGATACAGAAAGTGATGAAAGATTTGTGGAAAGTGACCCCGAGAAAAGAGTTTTGTGGATAGTCAGGACTGACTAAATTTAGAATAAATTTAATTGAGTAAATGAGTTTTAA